CGGAATTCGAGCTTGCATAGCTAGACCACGCGGTCACCACCAAACACCGACATGACTCTTTTAGAAGGGACACTATCTACCCCACAAAAACTCCAATTCCGACTGCACCGGCCATACGGGCGTATTTCGCCGGTGAATCGCGCGCAGTATGTTGGTACTTCACTGGACGCCAATCATCCGCACAATCGCTGGTCCGGCTCGCCCCAGCGCCGACGGCACGACACACGGCACTCGGCGCATCGATCTCTGTGTGTGTGCACACTGTGCGGTGGTGCGAGCCGTGCACCGCAGCAGTCACGGCCATAGCCGACCAGCTCACAGCGCGCACAGTGGAGGGTGGTTGAGAGATTGCTAGGTGCACGGAGAAGGTCGTCCCTAGATGTTATGCTTATTGTACATGTAAGATGTCCACGTAACCGACATCAGGTCAATGACCGCGTGCTTCAGTAGGATGATTATTTGAATTGGACAAATATATGACATCATATACAATTTTTTTCCCGTAAGATATTAAGGTTGCAACTTGCATCTAATCGTTTCACAAACACATGCAAAACTATTCGCTTCCTGACGTCAAGAATGGCGCCCTTGCCAGGTGGCCACCTTTCGTTCCCGGCATTTACAGGAGACTGTTTGCAGTGTTTTATTCATTCATTCAGTGCTGAAGTTTTTCGGGTGAAGGGCGGCGACAATCCCACGCCACCGGATGGGAAATAAATAACGGTGTCAGACCGATTACAAGCAAATCGATATTGATTTAGGAGCCATATAATGGCGGATTGTGAACCAGCGACTGGCTCGGGCCCGTCAAATGGTAAACAGCTCAAAGGGCCGTTGCATTATTGGGCACCACGGGCAGGACGATCAATATCGAGCAAGTCATATTACCGTTATCAGCGACCACATAAAACGGCGCCGGGTCTGAAATCACCGTTCGTAAAAGTGTCTTGTAATAAAACAAGGCTCTTTATACCGTAATAAAGAACGTGATTCTGGGCCAATATTGCTAGCCCATTTGATTCCTTCTCAACAGTTGAATGCACATAAAAATAAGGTGAAATATAAAACAGAAAATGAAGGCTCAATATCGACCATAACGAACGGCCGATAATGCAACAAAATATTTTTTTTTTTAGAACACATAGCATTAATCGCCCAGTTGAAAACTGTCGTCAAAAGCACATCTCGTATATACCTATACATGTACGGGATCACAGTGCACTGTATCATAAGGCTAAATTTTTTGTTAGTTAACATCAAGTAAGGTGCCATAATTGGCGTGAAACTGCTGGAGAGGGAAACAACGGTTGTTGCAGCCAAAATATGCAAGTCACATTTCGCTCCACTTAAATATTCAGAAGAAGGCTGAAAACAAAGTCGCGAAAAGTGCGGCCGCGGCTTCGCTTTCCTTTCCACGGAAATACCACGCTAGACTAATCTGATTAAACGCCGCCATCCGGCACGAAAAGTTCGCTATTTCAATGTTCGTCTTGCCGCTTTTTCAAACGGAAACACAGATGCGTCAGAGAAAGTCGGTAATATTAGATTTCAGACCTCATCTGGGCCTCGGTTATAAAATCAGGGTCGAACAGTGTTCTCCGAACCACGGTGTCAGCCAGAGAAGTTTGTGCTCCCGCAATGTCGTCACCCCGTCACCATAGGAAGCCGGGCAAACAATGGAAATGCATTTGACGAGCGACACCTACGGGGTCGTGCGGCAAAAACTTTCTCTGTCCGCGGGCGCCACTGCAGCGACACCTGCCGTGTGGCTCCAACACTATTGGCTCAGTCTGTGCGCCCACGCCGTGCCGCGAACACTGATCCTACACATTGTTCAGCGTTCCGATTGTAGTTGGACCACATCTGGTGAGTTCTCCCCACGTGGTGGGTGCATTACGCCGAGATGGCCTGGCTGGGCCGTGGTGTCGTATTTTTATGTTCGCCCAGTGGGCTCGCGGCACTGGCAGCCGGCTCTCAGTTAGGAACTGCCAGACCAAAGTACCAGTCGCTGGCTGTTTTATATTTTTTTTCTATCATTGCCTCTAGGGCCCTTGCCGCAGGTTCCTGCACCACCGACAACTGTGGTGTCCCCTACGGCCGCAGGGGCGCGCCGCGGCCCGCGATCGCGTCGTCGGCCATAGCGCGTTTGCGCCGGCGACCGTATACGCAGTTACGCTCGTGCCGCAATTCAGGGAGTTACGTCTTATGCTGCCACCAGACTGCTAGCCTCGTATCTTGTTGTATTCATCGCCCTGTCCACGCGCATGACCTAATGTCTCTGTGCACCCAAGGCCAAGCCACCCTGACGCCATCTTGGCGGGTCCGAGCAGCAATCGTGTGACCTCTACCCAGCGATCGCGTGATCGTGACGTCAGCGGTAGGTGTGGACACCTCCAGCGCTGGTGGCGCCGCGGCGGCAGCGACAGCAACTGCTGGTAGCCACGTGGCCGCCAGCGGCGCAGGCGCGGGCGTGTCATTACGTAACCGTCATCCGCGCCGTGAGGCGGCCCGGGTGATTCACCCGCCGTGTCGTCAGCTGACCGTGACCGTGGCCTAGCGGCCTTTGGCCCGGCGACCGGACCGCAGGTCCGCAGCTGATTGGGGGTCGTCTTGCACCGGGTCTGCAGCGGGCCATCTGGGCTGGAGTCAGGTCACTGCTGGCTGTATGCCACTCTGTGGGAAGCAGCGTTAGTCGGTCACAATTTGGCCAGACGTGTACGCAATCGTGTATGCCTGAGAGGCAGCGTTAGTCGGTCACAGATTGGCCTGACGTGTACGCAACCGTATATGCCTGGGAGGCAGCGTTAGTCGGTCACAGATTGGCCTGACGTGTACGCAACGGTGTATGGGCTGGAGTCAGCTCACTGCTGGCCGTATGCCACTCTGTGGGACGCAGCGTTAGTCGGTCACAATTTGGCCAGACGTGTACGCAATCGTGGATGCCTGAGAGGCAGCGTTAGTCGGTCACAGATTGGCCTGACGTGTACGCAACCGTATATGCCTGAGAGGCAGCGTTAGTCGGTCACAGATTGGCCTGACGTGTACGCAACGGTGTATGCCTGAGCTGCAGCGCTAGTCGGTCACAGATTGGCTGGACGTATACGCAACCGTGTATGCTATATCGGTTTCGTCCGCGTCCCACTCTGGGAGCGTCCAGGGCTTACGTAATTTTGTTTTTCTCATTGCAGGCATGCTCGTCGTAGGGGACAGCTATGCTGTCCACCTCCCCCGCCGCTGTTCGCCCCACCTTGCCGTGGCGGCGGCCGGTGTTCGCGGAGGCTGCGTCAATGACGACGGCTTCAGGCGCTGGGCCATCCGGGCCGCAGTTCGTGCCCGTCCTCGCGTGGTCACGCTCGTGGCGGGCGGAAATGACCTCGCCAGAAGGGACTGCCGCGTTCAGCGGTGGCTCGCCAACCTCCAGGAACTGACGCTCGGGCTCCTGGCAGCCGGAGTCGTTCGCGTCTATGTGCTGCCCATCCCTCCGCGCACAGGCTTTCCATCCAGCGGCGTGTCGGCGCGAATTTTCCGGCGGCGGCGCTGGGTGGCCAACAAACTGTTGCGCCGCCTTTTCCGCCAACCGCCGGTGCTCCTGCTCCACTTTGTGCCGCCACCTGACTTTCTGGCGTCGGATGGGGTTCATCCGTCCGCGGCCGGGTGGCGCACCCTGGAGAGCGTGCTACAGGAGGCTATGGACGCCTCCTCCGGGATTTAGCGTGTACCGGCCGTCATGCACTTTGGGTGCAGATTACGCTTACACAGCCAGCAATGCATGGAAACACAGTACCACAGGCGGCGGCGGGGTGGCGGTGGACAATCGGAAAGACAAGAACGCTGAACAATGTGTAGGATCAGTGTTCGCGGCACGGCGTGGGGGCACAGACTGAGCCAATAGTGTTGGAGCCACACGGCAGGTGTCGCTGCAGTGGCGCCCGCGGACAGAGAAAGTTTTTGCCGCACGACCCCGTAGGTGTCGCTCGTCAAATGCATTTCTCCGTTCCGCTGCGCTTGCAAATGCATGACTGATGAATATGGGTCTGTGTATTCGTACGTTTGTACACCCGTCATGCACTTTGGGTGCAGATTACGCCCAACACCCGTCTGTGTATTCGTACGTTTGTACACCCGTCATGCACTTTGGGTGCAGATTACGCTTACACAGCCAGCAATGCATGGAAACACAGTACCACAGGCGGCGGCGGGGTGGCGGTGGACAATCGGAAAGACAAGAACGCTGAACAATGTGTAGGATCAGTGTTCGCGGCACGGCGTGGGGGCACAGACTGAGCCAATAGTGTTGGAGCCACACGGCAGGTGTCGCTGCAGTGGCGCCCGCGGACAGAGAAAGTTTTTGCCGCACGACCCCGTAGGTGTCGCTCGTCAAATGCATTTCTCCGTTCCGCTGCGCTTGCAAATGCATGACTGATGAATATGGGTCTGTGTATTCGTACGTTTGTACACCCGTCATGCACTTTGGGTGCAGATTACGCCCAACACCGACGGGTGTACAAACGTACGAATACACAGACCCATATTCATCAGTCATGCATTTGCAAGCGCAGCGGAACGGAGAAATGAGGTTAGGTGCAAGGCCACGACGAACAAACGGCGGCGAAAAACAAACCCAGTCACGCTCGCTCCAACTGCGATGAAAAATGACTGTCGAATGCAATACACTGCATTGGGGCTGCAAGGTGCTTGCTGATATTTGCATATGCAAGTTAGAAATTACAGCCTCGATACAGTCGCTGCTTTGAACTTTTAAAAAGCTTCAACTAGTGTCAGTTTGATAGCCAAAGTATTTGCCAAATTATTTATTTAAATCTATTATTTATTTAGTTTATAGTTACTCTCATAAGCGTCAAAACCGAGCGCCCACTAACGTTCCTTGGTCATACACAAGAAACCATTTGAAAATGTACATTTGAAACGCATGTAGGTGCTCGATCAAGATATCCCAATAATCAGCTGACCCACCATTCCCTCCTCCCTGTCTCACCAACCTGCATGAGCTGGGCAGTCTGCCGGGGGCACTTGAAGCGGACGAACGGGTCGGCTGCGATCAGCGGCTGCTGGTTGTCCTGCTCTGCCTCCAGCAGGTCCAGTCGCTCGCCGAACAGCAGCAGCTGGTAGGGCGACACCAGCGAACAGTCGTGCACCGTCACACTGCTGCTCTTGATCTGACGGTGGCGAGGGAGGGGTGCTGGTCAGACGAGTGGCGGGTACAGGTCACAAATGAGGGTACTGGTTAGAGCACCGGCGGGTACACTGGAGGATACTGGTTATAAACAGAAAACCGCGGGCAACATGTGAGAACACCATGTCGCAACGAGAATGCGGCTGATTTTTGCCGACAGGGATGAAACCAGGTAATTCCAGTAAACCAGTAAACAGCCGACAGGTATGAAACCAGGTATAAAACCAGTAATTCATGTAGGCAGTTGAATTTGTTCACACAACTTAGCAGCAGATTAGCCGGTGTGTATCATCAGGGGCGTGAATCCCATGGACAGGCGAAATCAAAGGAGTCATCTCCTCCTTTACAATGTTTGTGGCAGAAACGAGGAGCCAGTGCATAGTCTTAACGGGTCCGTCGTCGAAATGCGGTCGACGACTAACCAAGCCTCCCCTTGGAATCGGGTTCAAGCGGTGCGGACAGCGATTGCAGCTCCGTCGAAGCAAACGGCGTTACCATGAGTGACGTAATGTACGGGACAGACGCAACGTGATTGGTGGAAGGCATGAGTCTGACGGCAGAGTGCGAGCGCTGTGATTGGTGGAGCTATTCCTCCCGACTGTCGCCTCAAGAGCGCATAAATCGAACAGATGAGGCCATTTACCCCGGGCCAGCGTTGAAGTGGATCGATATCCGTTCCATGGCATCAAACTGCGCGAAGCTCGGACACATTTTGCCTTGGGGAATACCAAATATCTGAGCAGAAACAATACCGTATATAATAGGATACTGCGAGAATTTCGTGTGGGTATATGTATCATAATACGCCGGAACACACATCCCCGATAAATATAGTGATTTATGAGGCAATCCCAACAGAAAATACGATAAAATTACACACAATAAAGGAATACATCAATACAATTCACCCTATACGAGGTCAGATTCAATAACATCAACCTGGCAATAAACATCCAACGAGTGTCATTTACGGAAACGAGAAACCGGCGCCGGCGGCCTATATACCAAGGTACGGGCCCAATCACTCTCGACAAAATCTACCGAGTCTAGACATACCTAGAGCGGGTCGGAGCCCTTCAATATCGTGCCGGGCGTTTACACAGGCTCTCCGCACTCATCGAAATGAGTGCGCCGAGACGGGATATTGGACTGCGCCGGGCGGTGACACCGTTCACCGCGCGCGGTCTCTGGGGAGCCTCGGCAGGCTCTCGGTCAGGGCGGAGACAGAGTGGACCCCAGTGACCGCCCGGAGAGCCAGTAACGGAGGTCGGCCGAATGACGCAACCACGGGAGGTCAGTGCCCCGGGGCACGGTGTAAAGCGCTGGAATGACGGACAGGGAACGTGACCTGAAGTCGGCCCCGGTTGGTGACACTCTGGGGAGGGGAGGGGGACTCAAGGTGACCTTGGTGGTAGGGGTGAGGGTGAAGAGGTGAAGGCAGGACGGCAGCGGATACCTCAGTATTATAGCGGATACCTGGGTATCGCCATGAATGGCGAGTAGGCATATGGACAATAGGAACGGCTAAGAGGGGGAGAGACGAAACATACGTTGCATTATTGAAGGGAACATGCACAGAAAGGACATTCACCACCTCACATATCATAAACGACAACTAAATAAGCCCTTCTGCTTCCGACAATTATGACCTGACAGCTAACACTACGCCAATATCAGTTCAAATACCACCAAACTGCTGACTACTATCAAATATCAGAGTCTGGCATAATCGCGCTGATTGGCACGACCATTATCTGGCCATTAGTATACATTTACATCTCATGAATAGCCAGACAAGCGGCAGCTGAGCACTGCGGTGGCTAGGGGCTTCCAGTGGTGAGTGACTGTGAGCGCCGTGACGCCCCGCCGGGCTCAGACAGCGGGCTGCTCGAGGGCGTGAACGGAGAGGTGCTCGCCCCCAGTGATGGAGGCAGACGGTGGCGCGAGAAGAATGGTGTGCTGTGTGATTATGGCTTAGTGATGTAACGATATGGGATGACGAAAAGCGGCGGGGCAGCGAGCGAGGAAAGGGAGTACCATGAGCGCGTGTAGATTGGCCAGCGTAATGCTTAATCATGGTGATGACTAAGAGTTTGGAGCTGCAATAGCCAGCCTTCGTCACAGACTTGCTAAAGGAGCCCACACGACTCAATCATGCAATCGACAGCGCTTCTGTCGAACGGTGATAAATTCCGTTATAAGAAGACGTTAGACTGAATAATACCTATAAACAAAATTCTGCCTACGATCTATGAATGAAATTACATGAATGTATTGATTGGGCGGTGGGCCGCATTTACAGCGTGCTCGAAACAACTCGACATACAAAATGCATAAGCGCATCGCGGCAAAGAAACGCACCGACGCACGAGACATCGTAACACGGAAAAGCCACAAAACCAAACCTAGACCCTTGCCTAGACCAGGGCATGACCCAAGGCATGACCCGCATGACCAGGGTAACCTAGACAACACAGGGTCAGCAAATCTCCTCAACTTGGGCAAAGGTCAGATGCCCTAAGGACACCACCATACGTTTCCACGCCGCAAATAGAAGTCTCCCTTGAGCCCGACAATCTATCAAGGTATAGTAAGCCATGATCCCGATGTATTTCCACGTAAACTTTGCCGGCAACCGGCGTCTGCAGATCTGGAATCGCATTGCCCAGAAGTCAAGAGCCGAGCGAGGCCATTTGTTCTGTCATCGCTCATCAACCGTAAGAAATTAATGCGATCATACAGAACATAAATATCTTGCGTCTTGTGTCCCTGGCAACCCGAACCGAACCCGAAGATCACAGATGCCGTCTCGATTTTCTGACCGGCCGCACAGATAGGGTCTCCTGCAATCTAGGTCCAGCCCTCAGAGGGCCTGGGGGCAGTACCTGGCCCCAGCAACTGTGCCTCCGAGCGCCCGGCACCGCCAAAGATATAGAACCGAACCGGTACCGCCCGACCGTGCGCGCCCGGTTTATTTCTGCGCCGCTGCGGCCGCTCGGGCCGAGCACCGTAGACGGCAATGTTTCCGGGCCGTTAACTCTCAGTACGCCGACCAGACATGGTGCTGGCAGAGGCAATCCCCGCCACAGACGCTGCACCGGCGTCGAATCGGCCCGCCGCGAGCAACTATGGTTAGTTATCCAGACACCTGCGTACCGCAGTAGGCGGAGAGGCGGCCGAGGGCGCAGAGATTATCACCGAAACGGCACCGAGGAATGTCGTACCGGCCCGAGCTTGTCTGAGGGAAATTAATGTTTCAGACACCTTGCCTGGTTAGAAGTTGGTAATTAAGAAACTTGTTTTACTTAATTCAAAACGTCTTCACCGCAGATGACGGAAAATAGACGAAAACACGCATTGCTTTAGCCTGTGCAATGTGCATAGCTGCTGTTTGATAAATAACGTAGGCCATACCAGCGATTGCTTTGTCTCCGCCGCGCTGCACAACCGCTCGCAGATGTTCCGTATCCCCAAACACATATCTTGTGTTCAGCCTGAGCAGCGCGCCGACCCCCTGAGGAGCCATCCCAGCGACTTAACCCGGCCAAACTGACAGCCAATCTATAGGCCGCGCACGCCTGCTGCGTTCGCCTCTGCGGCAGCCGGGGCAGCGTCAACGCCACCCTGTTTAGAGCGGCAGGGAAGTGACGGGCCTCTCGGGACCAATTACTGACTGGCATGATGAGATCTGCTGATTGGGAAGGAGCATTTATGTGTGGTTGAACGGTGCTCTACTGAGTAAAACACTGAGCATACCAGAACACACGTAGTTACTGCGTCAAACGCATCTTACACGTCTTTCGGTAAACAATGTTCTCGCTGGTCAGCTCATGGAATCCACTAGCGCCATAGCTCCACTAGGGTGTCGTGAGAAAATGAAGGTGTCTACATGGCTGAGTGCTTAGCACGCCGACGATTTAATTAACGCCAACGACCCCATCACCGGGGCAGACATGAGCTCATCACTGACGACATGGGTTAATTATTCGGTGGAGACAAAAGGGAACGGCCCAGTTACCAGAGAACGGTGTCATTTTGCTTACGATGCGAAGAAGGGAACAGCGAAATGCTTTTCGGTAAGCGCATTCCAAGACTTGACGTTACAAAACGGAATGAACTTAAAACGGCATACAAAGAGCTCTAGCATTTTTTAATTAAAAAAAAAAATAAAATAACAAGTAGGTCGGAGGGCCGATACAACATCAAGTCTACCCATGTCCTGCAGTCTGCACATACCGTTATTTGGCACTATTTAGTATTTAACATGCATGCGTGTCCAACACCCATGACGGCGAGGCAGTTACGTACGCTGACGGAACGGCTACTCAGGGACCATTAGCTGACATAACGATAATCCCACAGTGAATTCGTAATATCGCCTACAAGGCTCGAAGTCGTAACACATATAGCTGCAAACAACACATGACTTTGCAAGGACTCATATTTTAACCGCATATCAGCCAGTCTTTGGCTTCATACCACAAAGCTTTATACCATGTAAGTTTGCTGTCAGAAAATTACTGTCAGATACTGTCAGTTAAAAATACTGTCAGAAAATTATACAGGGTGATCCAAAAAATTTGGAACCCCTAACTTAAAATGTCTCTAAGTCCAAAAGTATTCACTTTATTGACAAATTGCGAACACCATTAGAAAGAGCATTAAATCCGCTATAAAATCACGTCAAATTGGTGCATGTATGTTGTAAAGCATTGGCACACTATTAGCTTTTGGAATGAACGTCAGAAAACTGAGTGAAACGAAATCGCCAAATGTTAACAATGCGCTGAAATCCGTTAGATTTAATTTTATTTCATAAAAGTTAACACAGAAACACCCAGCAGAACAGATACACGCGTCCTAGCTTCCGCTGTTCATCACAGCATGTGCTCAACGCGAGCTCATGCCGTCACGCAGGCCTGCAGTTGCTTGGGGACAGCTCCGACTGCGCAGGCCAGCAGTCTCTGGGACAACTGGTCCCAGCAGGCCGTCAGCCTTTTCTTTCCTTACAATTAGCACGTGAATGAGCTATTCTTATTCATGAACCTCCGACAAGCGACATGGTCAGAACAGCAAACCGTCAATCACTGATTTGCGCATAGTATGTTCAAAACTGTTTCACTGAGTTTCGTGACACAAATTTGATAGGCATATGTCTAGGGCAATATTTATAATAATAAGTAAGTACAATCAACTTGGTTTGATAGAGAATTGAACGCTTTTTCTAATGGCGTTTGCAATTTATCAATGAAGTGAAAATTGTCTGACTTACAGACATTTTAAGTTAGGGGTTCCAATTTTTTTGGATCACCCTGTAAAATATACTCAATCGATCTTTATAATATACCTGAATAGTACCGCCACAGCCTTCCTGGAATGCCTTCCCCTCCCCATCTTCCCCGTCGTGCCCGTATTTCCGGTACGGGGAACGCTCATCGGTAGATCCGCCTGACCGACTGGGAGTGGGCTCCCGCGTCCCCCACGGAGCGGCCAGCGACCACCACCGCAATCACACCAACAGTGCCCCGGGGAGTGGTATGGGAGGTCACTATCACCCCATTCAGAGGACGGTATCAGCGCGCTCTGTGGTAGCGCTACATGGGAAACTCTGGAGGTATAAATTGGCTGAGGCGGCGACCAAGTGGGTACAAGCGAGATACTTCGCTGTGCTGCTATTTGTGTGATCGTTAAAAACTCGTGCGATGTGGTGCCTTTTGGGCATTTGCGACACCGACTGTAACTTACGTAATGAAAAACATTTATCTTAGCATTTAGTCTACAGCAGTGCTAGGAAAACTAAAGTTTGACTATGGTCGGAGCAGAATATTAATCATATTGAAACGATATTTCACTCAATAATCGCGCATGTTCGGGCCTTTAAACGGAAATCATCAGCTCGAAATGTATGCAGTTAGCAAGCTGAGTAAATCACCATCCCACCACATCCTTTAGCATTATAGCCATATCACAAATCACACTCCATCACCACAATATCCCGGACAGTGACCTCTCTCACCTTCAGTTTGTAGACCAGCCAGTGGCCGGGCAGGCTGGGCGCGCGGCTGAGCACCGACTTGGGGTGCAGCGAGACGCGACCCTCCGGTGAGTAGAAAATGGTGCGGTGCTTGGACGGCCTGAGGAACGCGTAACGCCACGTCAACGTCACGCATGGCATGTTACTTGGAGTCACGTTATGTCAACGTGCCACGTCACCATGTCAAGCGTCACATAAGTCACTGGGTGCTTGCTGAAACGTCGCATGGGTCGTCGTTTCTACCCACGTGTAAGGCTGTGCCTTGTAACTCGACGTGGACCAACGCCTGAGCAATACCACAGCGGCTGTTTCAATCGGACGTTTCAATCGCTTAATCCAGGCACGTTTCGGTGAATGGGGAGCAATCAGCACCGCAGTATCCCGGCGGGGAGGCGGGGGTCTACCCGACGGGAGGGGGTTCTCTGTCTGCCGGGGGGGGGGGGCACTCTGCCCGGGGGCAGGACGCTTCCGCAGTGCTCGCTGCGTCCAGGGGAAGAGCTGGAGCTTCATGCGTCAGTGGCCCCTCTCAAAGTCGGCCCGAGGTTTTCGGAAGATATGTCGAGCATTCGTCAGAAAATATCACGCTGATGACAGCTCGGAGAGGCCGCCGCTTCTTCAACATGCAAATGCCTCACGGCTTCAAAGGCGCCTTCGTTTGATGCAAGAATTGAATATGCTCTGAATTCACAAACAGGCCCACTCCTAAACATGAGGGCCATTAAACTTGATGAGGTAGCTATCTGGGACATAAAATGACGCCCCGAATTTCGCAGTGAGTTTATGCCAGACGCGTGCCAGCCGGGTAAGCCGCGTGAATGGATCGCCAGATACGGGATATGAGAGATAAGCCAATGTGGCGTCACTTCCCTTGGACTGACAAAATTGGCGACAAGTAAAACAAAAAAAAAAAAAAAAAGAGAAAAATCGTGAAGCAAAGAAAAAACAAAATGTTAACTTCTATGCATGAACGGGCAGTATCATATTGTCATATCCACTTGCTCACCTTTAATATTCACCTAGCTAGCGCTAACCTCACAACCGGCATGCATTGCCTACCATGATCTATGATTGAACACATTTAGTAAGGGTCACACTCATACAAGCTTTGACCAGGTGCAAGGAAATGACGTTTAGGCAGCCATAATCTGCGTAGATAACGTTCAGCTAGGCTCCACTCGTGCTTTAATGTCACAATCTCTCATCGTGCGTAAAAGACGTTCGGGCCAAGTTTAACGTTATTTTCATGCCGTTCAGTCAGTTATTCTTTCACCGTGCGTAGGTGACATTTGGATAAAGTCTAGCGTGTTTCTCATGCCGTTCAGTTATCCTCTCACCGTGCGTAGATGACGTTCGGGTAGAGTCCCGAGCTGATGACCGCCCGTACCACGGCCAGGTTATCTGAGTTGACGTTGAGAGACGGATGGCGGGCGTCTGTGCCGGCCACGAACCGCAGCTTGTTCAGCTGCTCCAGGAACTGCTGCCGCATGCCCCTGTGGAACACAAAGCGGCGACAGATGGAGTCAGAGGGGGCGAAACGGCTCGGTGAGGTGGGTACTACGAGCATAACCAAGGTGTTTCTCCCCCTCCCCTTCCAACACCACATTAAGGGCAGTAGTCTGCCAAGTTTCACTCAACGTAACGCAATGATTACCGCCCCGCTGGCGATAATCAACCAGAAGCCTAGTAAAACAGCAGCAGGGTACACACTAGTCCAACGTTGGTAACTATGAGCAACTGCATCATTAACTGGGTTATACAGTCCACTGGGATCGGTAAAGGCGCGACGTGTGAATTTATGACCGCATGTGGCGTTTCATAAGGAAGTTTTGTAATGTATGGTGCAACCGTAAGTTTGTGTGAGAATGGGTACTACGCTCTGGAAGACAGGATGGATTTGCGTATCATTAAATCATGACAGGGTGTGCCATTAACATCAACAGTCAACAGTCATTACGGAAGGCGTGTCATACTTCCATTATCATAACTAACAACAACCGTGTATCGATTTGGGGAAGAACTACAAACAGCGCCGGACCACTGGAACTGCGCAGCGCCGCGCGATGAAATTACACCCGCCTGGCGCTCATGATTGGATTTCATTTCAGTTCACCGTTCATTGAGCTCGAAATGCCTTCCAGGCTGAACATTGTCTTCGCGGAACGGTCGAGCTGAGCCAGCCGATCCTTTCATTCCAACCTAGCATAACCAAAGATTATATTCCCTAAAATGAGGTGGGATAAAACATCCGACGTAAATGGTCCAGAGATACCTTCCACGCACTTGCAGCAAACCTAGTCCTATTATGATTTCCTCTTAACCGATATTCCAGTGAACAAAGTCATTGAACAACGCAGACACTGACACACCACTCAAGAACTACGAGAATCGCAAATAACGCTACTTCCGCTGTAAGCCACACAACGCACCTCCCCCGTGAAAAGATGCGGCTCCTATAAAATATGAACATCCTTGAACATGAAACCCGTTACCTCGGGACCAAAGTCACGGTGCAAAAGTCGCCAGGACAGCTCCAGTATCACCCTTCCAAATGCCATTATTAGGTCAGAGCCGACTTTAGAAATACTCGGACTCGTATTTCAAAGGCAGGAGAATACTCGTACATATGTGCGTTGGATTCAATTACACAATGCAATGACTATTCTGAAGGACGCTTCGACAGCGGCGTACGCGGTTGTCTGATAATCCATTTTACTCGGCGTATGATGCTCTCAGAGCGGACTGACTGAGACTGACGTGTACTGGCGATACGTCAGCTGCACATGACGTCCCATCAGCAGCACAGAGAGCCACTGACATGGCGGTGACGGCTGACTGACAAGGCCACATTAATGGATACATCAGCTTAGGGTATATAGGGGAATCACCCAGCCATGGGCGACCAAACGCCGAGTAAACGTAGTCTGGTTTACGACATATGAAACATGAGGTGTGACATTATCAATGCAGCAGTAAACCAACACCGTAATGTTGCACGACACAATGCTGACGAATTTACTGAATCAGCTTCAAAATTATATAAGCGTCGTATATGTAATTGTACGGTGAACTACCGACGATGCTGATCCCGACGTTCGTTATAACACGCGCGCCAAATACCCAGCAATGCCCAAGGCCGTAAAAGAGCCGATGACAGCTGGTTAATGGATGTAGCTTATAGAATAACCCCGTTTCCAGCTTCCGGATGCATTTACTCATTTCCAAAATATGAAGAAATACGCACTGTCATTATGAATACCTGCCGACAGCTATAATCAGGTAGGGCCAGAGCTCATATTAGAACAAATGACCATGTGACATTGTAATTACAATACCATGTAATTAACGGAGCGAACCTCAGGGAGGAGTTCAATTAATACTGAAAGACACTCTTAAAATAGTCATCAGGAGCTGTAAATCAGAAATTACGAGAAGCATTACCTCGCTTAATGCCGCAGCAATTAGTTAATCAGACATCAATCATGTGTAAGGTCGAACGATTTTACCGGCCATGCAGTGGTGGGAGCTGGGACCTTATGTAAGCCGTCACGGCCCTCACCTGATCATCTCTAGGGTGCTGCCCGAGAGGAAGTTCTGCCGTGCGAAGGCGCGCCGGTCGCGTGCGTTGGTCCACTGGTTGAAGGCGTTCACCATGGTCATGTGGTCGCTGTAGAGACCCTCGGAGAGACGCTCCCGGGCCGCGTCAGCCTGCCGCTCAGAGCCCTGGACCGGGGGAGACGGGTGGGTCATTGTGGCAGCAAAGAGTGGGGTGGTGCGGGTTATGGCAAGAGAGGGGGACAGAGAAACCTGGGGGAGGGGAAGAGAAAGAGAGAGAGAGAGAGAGAGAGAGAGAGAGAGAGAGAGAGAGAGAGAGAGAGAGAGAGAGAGAGAGAGAGAGAGAGAGAGAGAGAGAGAGAGAGAGGAGGGGGTGAGAAAGGGGAGGGTGAAAAAGAGAGATCATTGAAAGGGGTGGGCAATGACACCGTACACTTACACAATGTCATGCTACTTTGCGCTATATGTTCTTATTTTGAATTCATTCCCGCGAACAAGATATCGTAAATCTACATTATACAACACCAATGCAACCCTTGCAATGGGATCACACCATAGACGAATATCGCGCGGTTGCTAGTCATAAACCAATTAGCTCTGAATCAACCCTATCATCTACGAGAAAACCACCGATCTAAACGCCGGAAATTAAGTAGCGTTGAAACCGTGGTATAGCAGACCCCATACCCGCCAGGACTTGCACTTTTGTGAGACACCTCTCAAGATTTGCCAGTAACGCCCACTTTATGAGACCCAACTTTACCTATCTGGAAACTAGAGAGACATCAAATTAACAATGTGACGTGCTTCCGAGGTAGTTTCTGATCTTGTGATGGGATTTCCAAAGAACAGTAGCCCAACTTTGTGACATTATTTAATCATCCAACAAATTAATAATTAATGAATCGGCACCCAACACAAGTTTTTAGGGTGGTTACTGGCTAGGGTACTAATCATGCCTAGAAATCGAGAAATGCACACACGGATGCACTCACACAAGTCTCAGAAAAGACAACTCACACTACAGCTATCTTAAGGTTAATCGCTGCCTTTTGCCACAGCAATGATCATCCAGTCTTTTCCCCTCTATGACCCCAGAAAAACCCGACCCGTCCCGACCAGCCAACACGTCCAGCTGTCCCGATAAGGAGGGCTTTCAAGGCGCGGCCGGACCCTTCGGGCCAATGGATGCGTCATTCACTCATTCACAGGCCGTTACACAGACGGCGAGACGATAGAGAAAGGGGATAGAGTGCCGATCGTAACATTAATATGGCAAAATACCGACGATGATACAACTCTCTCTCGGTAGATAATTTGCGTCCAAATGTGAACTTACATCAAGAGAACATTCCCTCATAAGGTATGTTTTAGATTTGAGGTTCCAGCAATACTTCAGTGTCACTGCCCAGAACCGAGCTCATTGTCTTATCACTTCGTCATCTGCCACGACAAAATTGTCAAGAAAGATGCAATGGAGCGTGACAAGCGTAAAAACATATGAACAACTTATTATAAAACTGAAAAAACAACACCTCGAAAAGTACATCACCGTACGAGAATGACCGGCTTGAAAGACACATCCAACCGCATCAAAGTCGACTTCTCCGTGTAAACTCCCTCCCTCAGAAGGCTCGCTGTCTCAAAACTAAGGCATGGAGATTATTCTACTGTTCCAGGAACCCATCTGCATCGAGAGTCCACCAGTCTCGACTCTGTTCAGACCGCTTGGCGGGAGGATCTCGGCCGTCACAGCGATATGGCCGCCCAGACGGAATGGTAATTAGCTCCATGCGGGCTTCCGGGACGACCTAATCGCCGTCACAGACAGACGAGAGACTGTGGTCTGTCATAGATATTTATATCCAAAACGGAGGCCGAAATGAATCACAAGTCAACTGGGAAAAACTACAGATTTCACGTATATCGGGTATTTAGGGGAGGACTTGTCACGCATAGCGCAGGTTAAACCCAAACGGAGTTGGAATGCCGGGCGCCGGCCATAAAGGCTTTTGACCCCTGATATACGTGCTACATGCTAATCTTCCCCGCAACCACTTCGAGCCTTGATCTGTATTGACATACGCAATCGTGGTAGGTCCCGGATCGCAGCTGAGCCCATTTGCAAATACGCACAGGCCGTGAGGTAATAAGATTTCCTCTCCAGGCAGTCTCAGGTGGGGAGCGGCAGCAGCCAGCACACGACGGAAATGGAATGAACCAGCCGAATCCGAGACGCACTTTTGAGCAAGTCGTGGAAGTAAATTTATTTCAGCTGTAATTGAACATTTATCTACAACAGTTTGATGTAACTTATAGAGGAAATTCAATCATGGTTCCAGCCTCGCATAAGACGTAGAGAGAAGGTGCGAAGAAACGGAATCTGTATATTAATTCCTAAGGTAAAATCTTCGTCGAGTGGTCCGTGCGTCATTGCTGGCAGCCACCAGCAGCCTTTCCGTAGCTTACACTCCGTCCACTCTTCCCTCCATCCTTACCAGCGGGATGACGAAGGGCTCCTTGAAGCTAAGACACGAAGCCACTGTGAGCACGGGGTCCACGCACGAGAAGAGGGCTGCCATGATGAGCATCTTGCCCGTCTGCGGGTCCATGGGCAGTCGTGCCAGGTGGAAGCCCAGCGGTGTCAGGTGCTCGTCCGAGTCAAGCGCGCGCAGCTGACGCAGCATCTGTGATAAAAGGTGGGGGAGGGGGGGAGGCGATTATGGACATACACGGTATGTTGAGCGATGAAAATATTGGTTTGTTGACACATGAAAGAGAATTTCGAGTGGAGATAGCACACCTCTGAGAAAAACGATTGAAATCATATTGCATTTCACAATTCAAGACATTGACACAAAATACGTCAAACTGAAAAGGTCACCACATCATTTTAGACACTGATACGCACATCGAGCGAGAGTTTGACGGCCACAGCGGTCGGCTGGTCCATGGCTCTCTGCAGGAACGGCGCCACCGCCCCCAGCCGCAGGATCTTGATCTGGAGACAGAGCTCCTCCAGCCGGGTGCGGAGGATCTCCGGTACAGGGTAGTCGGCCAGCGCCGCCTCACGGGCTCGACTGTACAGGTGGTAACACTTGCCCGGCTGCACCCTGAGGAAAGGTGGGGAGGGGGTACGGTAAGCAGTGGGGCCTCGGGATGGATGCGATATTTACAGAGCTTGTGGGTAGTATATAAAAAGAAGAAAAATAATGCATTAAAATGTGTAAAATGACTTCATCGGTAAGTTTTTTTCTGACGATCACGCTCGTCCAGTTTTATGCTTGCCTTGTGTCTCAGTGCCCGTCACTGTCCGTTTTGAATCCTTAAAACACCAGTAAATTCATCAAAAACGTCCATCGATACTCGAAGCCACAAAACGACCACCACAAAACCCAAGGACAACAAAACTAAGGAAGCTCCCTAACACCTATCTGTCAATGTCCTCGTAATGCGATTTGAAAACGTATGAACGCAAAAGGTCTTTGACAAAAGGTCGCATACTGGCTCCAACGTAAGCCGTAAGTGTCATTGCGATCGCATACAGTGGCACCGCTATCCACATTCCTCTGTCGAGCGGCGGCAGAATCGCAACTACTCGCTGAATCTCATGCCCATACTCCAGCCTCATTTAAACCCCACTGACCGCCAGCGTCAGCCACAACACGCGACTCAGGCAGCCAGCCGTGCATTCCACAGTGCTATCAATCGATGCCACTGTATACAGGCCAGTAACCATGGCAGAACCGTCACACATCCATTGTAGCGGTAAGCGACCGCAACGCTACCTATGTATTGTGACACCCCTTTCAAGTGTTTAAGTGTACAGCGAAGAACAGGGTACCGGAAAATGAGTGATTTGTTGCGTGAAAAGGGATGCAGTTTAGTTTCTTCTGTGCGACAGTGAATTATAGGTATACTTCGCTAGGTAGCAAGTAGCCACTGAAAAGACATTGATCCGAGTCCAATGAAGTGCAACGGATCGATAGCAATGCGACAATGCCAGTACCAAAGAAACCACGTCAATGTGCCAGTCAACGATTTCCCGAAAAGGGACTGAACGTCATATCAGTCAGTTCAATTGACCCGACATCGCTTAGTTCAGCTCGCGGACTGTCAAACGCACCACACATATCTTACACGGAGTTTAACTTCATATCCAGGTTCATCAACCGTAACACAAGCCCAACCAGAACTTCAATCACGCTAATCCGATACATGTCACCACTCACCAGGCGTAGCGGAGTCATTGCAGTATCACAGCTTCCTTATTCATCCAAATCCTTCCTGTACGTCGCATATGACACATGACACATCACGTGAGCTCTACTACCCCAGCGTTTAACCCATGCGTCTACAACACGTGACTTTTGCAGCATCATAGCAAACGACGCGCCTACGACGGCGTCTCAGTCTCATGTCGGCCTCTCCTGTCATGTATCCAAAGGGACGTACTAGCCACTACAGTGCATTAGCCCAGCAGAGGATGGGGTCAGTCGGACGGACAGTCACTCAGGGGTGAGCAGACACCGGCGTCTACAGCACTCGGGCCGGGATTGTGCGTCAGTGGTCCCAAACAACGGACTCAGAACAACAGACAGCAGGCTAGACAACAAAGAGTAGACAGGATAATTAGGATTCCGATGGTAGCTATGGACACGATTCATTAGTTACACGTAACAAAAGACTGCCCGGATACAAACGAAGGCAATGGTAGCCCGTCTCTGGGCAGGCAGCAGAGAGCCAAACATAATGTCTGAGGGGGGACTAGTATAATCGTAATGAACGACGGTGACAAGTTGTTAAACTGGAAACTGTCTCAGGGGTGGGGCACTCCGCTACGAATTTGGGGAGAGAGGGAGGCAGGAAGGGCTAAGCTAAGGAGTGGGAGGGAGAGAGGGAGAAGAAGATCGATAATCTGAGGAAGAGGCGGCGTGACCGGAAGATCCTTAGAATGAGTCGCTGACTTTATTATCTCGCTTCTCTATTTCTCGTTTTCCGGGACTCCGGTCTTTTCTAACCCACAAACCATATAACAAATAGTCGCTAAAACTGAGCGCTACGGCTCGACCTTATCAGTGCATTTATTAGGCGTCTAATTAAGCGTACAGGCTTATCGCTCGCTGTTTACCAGAGTGTGACACATTGCAGAAAGTTATCAGCACAATGCATCAGATCGCGATGCTGGAAAAATACATTTGTTTAGCATACTAATAAGCAGTAGGTACTGTTCGCAAAAATGTTGATAGATCGGCATGTGTTGCAATTACGGCATGAAGTAATTGTAATTGTAATTGTAATTGTAAATTGTAATTTATGCAACGCTTGCAGCAAAACCACGTTACACCTACACTCTAGCCTCAATTTACAACAATATTAAGTTTCATAAGCAAAAACAAACAACGAGAAGGAAATTAATTCCGACAGCTACACGAAAATCCCAGAAGTGCTTTCGTAATTCGTAATTCGTAATTCGTAATTCGTTTATTAGGGCTGATCCACAGGTGGCTATTACGGCCCAGTCAATACAAGCAATATGAGAGTACCTAAGTCACAAAAATCATCATAGTAAAAGACACACAAAATGTACAATGGTACTAAAAAAAAAACACTCAGGTGGCGACATATCTCTATCGGAAGAACCGCATCAGCTGTGCCCTGGAGGCGGTCCCTGTCACCTCCCAGTATTTGAAATACGAACCAAGTGCCTTATGAAATGTGATGTGGCTTTGATTGAGGCATGCAAACCGCAAGGAACATAACACGTGCTATGTTCTCCTTGTAAGCGTGCATGTGATTCAGCATTCACACATCTACGGAAACTTGTGAACAGGTAAGCTCGCTTGCCACCGATCTAATATCCTAAGAACTGAAGGATTGCACGTTTTGTTAACGTCGCTGCTTACCTCCCTGCACGTCCACGCCGCTGCCTCGAGTTGGCCTTGCTCACCCATTCGGGCTTCAGTGTCCTGAGGAAGGATAGGACGCTCATTAGTTTAGCAAATAGCCGTTCCAATTGCGACTACCACAAATCCAAATGCATAGTTTGAAAAATCGAAGTTGACCCGTTCATTGTGATCGGAAACATAAGATAGCTGTCACGCATTGTTGTCCAACCTTCGTTTTAGCTGAGCATGTACGATTTTCAGAACGCATGATGTCCTCGGCATTGAAGTGGGACAAAAATAATGCGGTGATTTTCCATATCCTTTGTACTTTGAAGCGCCATTCAAGCCAATCACATATTCAGCGTCACGAAAAAACGGCATATTACCAGCAAACCCAGACCGAGAACGACAAAAGGATCGAATCGTTTCTCAAGGCAACAAAGGTAACAGTATCTCAGTAACGCACACAACCAACTACAGGGTGTCCCAAAAGTAGCGTCATCATTTGCTTTGGTCACATCTCTGAAAGTATACGATGGATAGAAACAAAAAAGATATCATGTGAAAGGACATTTTGTAAAATTATATTGTGATATAGATATGAGCCAAGGTATTGGTTCGTAGCCCCACATTTACGGCTTTTCCGCATGGCTACCATTTCGGGTCGCGTGCATGAATAGACTGCCTTTGAATTCCTCCGCCATTCTGGAGCGATTCTTTGATGCGATACAGCTTATGTTTCCTCGGATGGCTCATCATTTAGCTCTTCCTAGCTCGCTGGGTTGTTCTCAAAGACAACCTTTCCGATGTGTACCCAAAGAATAAAAATATTGAGGTGTCAAGTCAGGTGATGGCAAAGGCCATACGATGGCGGTACCCTCTGAAAATTATCCGATTTCTGATCCACTCTGGGAGACAATGCATAGTCTTCAAGGACGGTGCAAACATGGTCTCCGTCCTGCTGAAACCACTGCTGGTTGATGGTGTCGACATAGCTGCGCTGCGGCGAGCGGAAGAACCACTGGAGGACCATCAGCCACTTTTCTTGGTTTTTCGTTACCGGATTCCCGTTGTCGTCTTCAGGACCTCGAAGGACAAGGGGCCAAGTATACATGCCCTGTGCGCATACCTATTACATTTTTTTCTGGCGTTTTACCGGTTGCAACGAAGCTATGAACGACTTCAGAGATAGAGCGACCTGATAGGGTCTTCTTAGGGCCGAAAAGTCAGCGGTATTTACGCTGCATGTTCCAATGACGGACCCTCTCTTAGAGTTGAAATTCGATCACTTTAGTTTTCTGCTTACTGCTCAGTGTAGTTATCATTAGAAATGAAATAAGTATGCCAGCAAATAATTTTATAAATGTACCTTACACGTCCTAAAACTTGAAGTTATTCGGATTCTTACTTCTCGAGATATTTCAATTTGTAATCATAACCTTACTTTTGGGACACCCTGTACTAGTCGAAGTCAGATGGAGCTAAAAAAAAAATTATTTCACTAGCTGGATATTCCCGAAACCTTTATCCCGCAGGGCGCAGGCCATTATCTGAAGCGTCATCGCTCATCCGAGATCCGCAAAGAAGCAAACCGCTCACATGCATCCGACGTTGCGATTTTTGTCGACGTTCTTCATCTTGACCTTGCCGCCGTCGACGACGAAGACGACGTCGTCGATGGTGATTGAGGTCTCGGCGATGTTGGTGGCGATGATGATCTTCCTCTGGCCGGGCGGCGGCCGCTCAAACACCTCGCGCTGCTCGATGGTCGGCATCATCGAGTGCAGCGGCAGGATCAGGTACCGGCTGCCTGTCGAATGAGGAAAAAGGAGCGCGGGAGGTGGAGTTACAATAAACTATAAATTGTTTTTGAATCAAATATCAAAATCAACTAGGTAACCAACAGCTAGACGATAGGCAAGTTGGAAGCAGACGAACAACGCGCAAACGTTCCTTGGTGGTTGCAAACTATTGGCAACAGTCAAACGCCGGAGCTGTAACCTCAGTCCGATTTTCGGCCACCGTCTGTACATTCAATGCGCTGCTCTGAATCAACTGACGCATGCGAATACGCTCGCAAAACATCAAAGCTTCAAGGCTCAAGCAGAGATCAAACTGCGCAAGTTCTTTCATGGCCAGACGCAGAGCGCGGCCTAATCACATTTCCATCCTATCGAATGGTCCATTTCACAGCCGAATGACGCAAATCGGCTCTCAAATTACCATCTCCAGTGATTTAGGATCTAACGAATATCATCAAAGTATGCGTATCTACCGCATTAACTTTAGATTGAAACTGGTACCCGACAGCATGGTCACGTATCGATATCATCAGGATCTATTTCGGATGCAACCATATATCTCCCCATTGACTTTAATAATCATTAGTGGGGTGACTGCAATCATCGCACAGCAATTAGCGCAAATTGACTCATTTACCGGTACACGTGTGTGGGCGGTCCGCCCGGGCCGGATCAGGTTCCTCTAGAACCCTTCCCCCCTCCCCCTACACTGATCCACACGAGCACAAAGCTGCGAGCACGGGTTTTACCGAACCGGAACACACGACTCCAAATTGGCAGGGCAATGAAGCGGTGGGTATCGGTATGGCAGTGTAATGAAGCGAAAAGCGGTGGGTATCGCCGCCGTGACCATTAAAAAATTGACACCGAGCCGCGGAGGTCACGCCTCGGAAACGTGACCGGTAGCGGCGGTGACGTCACGTGACGTCACCAGAGGCATGTGGAGGCGGGTGTGTAAGATAGCGTTACAAATTACCGACACATATAGAGTTACAGGCGATTGTGTACTAATTGAGCAGCAGTTCCTATAAAGAAACTGTTAATGACCGACATCCGACCGGACTGACTTAGAAACCGTCCGACTCAAAACACCGTGACTCACCGACTCTAACTTCCAACTCACCGACTCTAACTCCCGATCTACCAACTCTCACCCCGACTCACCATCCCCCAGCACGGGATCCTCTTTGATGGCCTTGTGCACCTTGCCGATCTCATCCCAGCCGCTGAGGAAGACGAGCACGGCGCCCTCCTGCGGCTGTTCGCGGAGACAGACGTGGCGCACGGTGGCGACAAACAGGTCGGGCTCGAACTGCTCCGACTCGGGTACGGATAGCGAGCGAAGCACCTGATCAGAGTACGGCCGAGCCGCCGGCGGCGCGCTGGCCAGCTGACTGCGAACGGGAGGGGCGGCGGCAGGTCAGGGAGGGTCAGAGGCATGGTGTTGGGCGATGAGAGGGTTAACAATGCAATCTATCCGTCTCACAATATATGTAGACATCAAAAGGTTGCATACTATTATTGAGAGACACAAATAGATAGGTATGGATCATGTCAACATCCGGAGCGCGAAAACAGCTCCACGTTAGCATCTTGTTTTCGTTGGGTTAGGCCCTTTCGGTCCAATGACACCATTGCAGAGCCGGGAGGATGATAGAAATTAGGGGGAGATAATGGTCTGGGCAGGCACCCTACTCCTAGTGAATTGCCCGGGCTGAGCCCGTCCGAATGGACAGGCCGCCCAGCCCTCAAGCACTCACTGCACCCGGCTACGGGGTCCCGGCTACGATAGCGGCACGCTGCTCTCTCGGGAGCAGCGTTCCGCTCCAAGGGAGCAGCCCGCATGAGATAAAGGTGCCTGTCCAGCCCGGATCAGGAGTTGCGGCGTGGATGGAAACTGAGGATGGAAACGACGGAACGGGTGACCGTGAGGATCATGACACAGACCGGCGACTACAAGTCACTGATACCACCTGCAAGAAACCAAATGCCTCATCAACAGTGTAGATTGTTGAGGGACCGTATAACCACATCAACACGACAGCGATGTCAGAACAACCCACCTGACGTAGGGATCAATCAGCTGACGGAACTCCGCCGTCCTCTCGGCGTTCTCCTGGCGCTGACTCCAGCGTGGCCGGCCGCCGCCCTGAGAGCCACCTCCCGGGAAAAACTGGAACCTGAAGTATAAACCACCAACCACCAGGGTTAGATGTGAACGAGAACATATCCAATGGTCCGTGATCATAATAGGTTGAACGATCTTCATCATCAAAAATCGCCCTAAAACACATAAGTTTCCAATAATAACACCAGCATGCCATACCCCTCAATCAAACTACAGCATCAGCCATCTGCACAATCCCTCCCCCATCCAGGCAGAACTCTCCCCTCCTCCATCCACCCGAGCGCGTGCGTTACGTACCCGGTCATCTGTAGCACGTCCTCCAGGTAGAAGGCCTCCACCGGGAACGCCCTGCCGGGGATGTGCGCCATCGGACAGTTGTTGAAATAGGCGGAGAACTCGGCCGAGTTGATGGTGGCACTCATCAGGATCAGCTTCAAGTCCGGCCGCTGTGCAGGCGGGGGGGGGGGGGGGGGATGAATGAATGAATGAATGAATGAATGAATGAATGAATGAATGATGTATTTCGGTTTCGGGGGGGGAGAAGTTAATTATGTAGTGCAAATTATGCAGCCCGGGCTATAAAGATACCCATAACTTTATAAATCACTTTTTTCAATGAAATTATGACTAAAAATCATAACCTAACGTCGTTATAAACTAGACGTTATATTCAAATGCATAATAAACTTGAAGCTAAAACCCCTGTTCTGCTCAGTCATACGCCAACCACACTGCAAACACCGTTCATGGAGCCCATCCGCCAGCGCTCCCTATCCCCGCAGGACTCCCAGCATCCCGTCTCACACACACTGGGAGTCCCCTCTCCCCCCCCCCCCCTCGCTACTGACCGTCGGCAGGATGCCTTTGACGATGGTGACCAGGAAGTCGCTCAGGGTGTCCCGCTCGTGCACCTCGTCTATAACTAGGTGGGAGACGCGCGCCAGCGTGGGCTCCGTCTGCATCCGCTGCAGCAGCACTCCGGTGGTACAGAACAGGATGGAGCCCTGCGGGCGCGGCTGGCGGCTGAGGGAGGCAGACGGGGAGAGCTGTGAAGGTCGTCACGGACACTCGGTGAGATTAATAATCTGGATATTGAGACGTTTAACCGCATGCGAGTCGGGGACTCGGGGAAGAGCTCTTTTGCCACTTTTGAGCACACTGACAGGTGTGATGCGTTTAAGAATTCCATGTTCACGTGCCCCTCCCCCCCCCCCCATGAACTCAATGTAAGGAACTCTGAACAACATCTATTGTCGCGTAAACCTGCGGGTCAAATGTTTACGCCTTCCCTCAACTACCTAATAGTACGTTTTGCCTGCTGTAACCCTATTTGTTTCACCAGGCTTCTGCCCACAGATTCTATAAATCCTAAAATCCAACACATTCACGGGCGCGACACTTACTGGTCCAGTCGGATGGCGTATCCGACCTGGCCGCCGCCTGTGGAGCTGACGGTCGCGCCCCGCTCCCTGGCCACCCGCTCGGCCACTGTGACTGCGGATATCCGGCGGGGCTGTGTGCAGACCACGTGACAGAGCGAGCCGCGTCCGGCGGCGGCCGCCTCCTCCAGCAGGTACTGAACCACCTGGGTGGTCTTACCACAGCCTGCAGGAAAAGCGAACGAGTGTTATACCAGTATCGTACGTCGGGCGAGAGATGCTTAACTCTGCAAGTCCTATAGATATTTACAGAGCTAAACCCAGGCCGCTATAAAATGTTCCCAACTAAAATGATATCACGCTCTCTCTTACGAAAGGTGGTCGGTTTAAGCACTGCATATTAGATAACGTTCACATTGTTTGCCTGTTTGAAGGTAATAGTTTTCCGACGCGTCTACAACGAAGCCGCTTTGCGCCCATTTTCACCCCCCCCCCCCCCCTTCAACGATATATCACCCACAACTCTCTGCCTCCCATCCCCAGTCTTACCAGTCTCGCCGCTGATGACCACCACCTGGTGGTGGCGCACCAGCTCCAGGATCTGAGCGCGCTGCTGATGGGCCGGCAGACTGTGACGGAACTCGTCCAGCGGCCCGGGCCGGCCGCTCTGCTCCAGCAGCTCGGCGTCAATGGCAGACACCCGCTGTAACCCGTCCCGCTGCGGGTCGTAGCTGGGAAGAGGGAGGGGGTGGGGGTGAGCTGAAGAGAGTAAGCGATGTTTATGAATGGTAGTTACGCAATAAATCGTTGATACTGAAAGCTGTAGTGAGCCAAGATAACAGAATAGATCATAAGCATAAATGAACAAAAATGTGTAGTGGAAAGTGATTCACAAAATCAAGCGCCAAAGTATGCATTACAACATCACTTCAGCTATTAAGAAGGTCATGAATGAGCATCTTCTGAAATCTGAGCAATGGTGACAATCTCGATGGCATAACATAGGCAATACATTCGGTATGTAATCTTTTACATAAAAGGCCACATTTTTTTCGACTGAGAGTTCACATTCTCATCGCCTAGACCATGACTCCAACCACATGCCTATCCTGCACCCGTTCCCACCTGAGGTTGTCCCAGTCGCGGTCCTGGTTCCCGATCAGATTGGCCAGGAACTCCTGTTTGAACCGGGAGTCGGCCAGATGGCGGTACTTGTCCGCCAGCGACGGGTCCAGCTTGCTCACCACGTCATCGACTTCGGGCGCCGGTAAGTCGTCGGCCGCCTCCCTCTCTCGGCTACCGTCAGCTGTCAAACTTTCACACTTCACAGAACCGGTGAAAGATTCCGACTTCTTCAAGCCGTTTCCAATACCTTCACCCTTTGTGGCGTCTTCTGCCATTTCTTGTTTTATTTTTATGTCATCCGTATCCATTTGCTCTTCTTGTTTGACCGTGGCCGCCGTAGCTGCCTCTTTGTCGGCAGACAACGTATTGCCTGCCGACGACAGATCAGTCATTGAGCCCATCTTCGCCTCGCTCTCCGTCTTATCGTCATCATCTGGGATCTCGGTGAGCCGCGGGTCCGCCTCGTAATCCTCCCCGTACACATCCAAAAACGTCGGCAGTGTCCCAGCAGCATTCTCCTCCTTTGCAGATGGAGCTGACGATGGCGTCGACACCGTCACGGCCGACGGGGCCGGTTCGGCCGGGCGCGCGGTCGCGGGGGGCGGTGACGGCGGCCGTCGGCCGGACCGCTCCAGTACAGACCGAATGCGCGTCTCTCGCTCCGGGTCCGAGCTCAGCGTTTGGCACTGCATAGAAACAGAGAGAAAAGTCATGGATAGAGGTCACATTCGAAATCCAACGGGTACAACGGCAAACAATGCATGTCGAGGTCATAACAGGAAAACAGGACACTGACAGTGACTAAACGAAGGAGCAGAAACACTGAATAATAATCAACAGAAATATCAGGCATAAAAAGCACAAAACACTTTGAGCTCACATGTCGATATTTGCGCCCTCCGCCGCGACCGCCGCCGGCCCTCAGGGAGCGGTCCCGGTACCAGAGGCCCAGCGCCCGCCCCCGCAGCCCGGGGGGAGGACGGTCACTGTCCTCCTGGGCGGCACCATCCGGAGAACCAGAAGGACCGGGGTACGGCCGCCCGCCGCGCGGAGGGCCGCCTCGCCAGCCGCCGAAAGGTGGACCGCCTCGTCCGCCACCGAAAGGTGGGCCGCCCCGCCAGCCGCCGCCACTACCGTGGCCTCTCCAGCCTCCTGGGGTAAAGAAGGTAATAGAAAGGGTTTAAGGTGGCAGACTGAAGGCTGGGTGACAGAATGCAATCTTAAGTGCAAGGAAAATGTATTTATTTGAACAGATTACCCCTATCTAGGTGTTACTTACTTTGTCTGTGACTAAAAAACAGCGAAATCTGCATATCATGTAAATAGTCACCTATTTGATTTCAAAACAATGTAAAGAAGTGATGCATGATGATTATGATTCCCTCATATGTTGTTATACAGTCTGAGTCAGGGCAGTCAGACTGTATACAGTAATTACCTCTGCCCCAAGGTCTCTCCATGGATCACCACAGAGCTTCTTCAATTAGTTGGCAGTTCTCAGTATTGCCTGGAATAAAGGAGAGAGCTTGTAGCACTCCAAACTCAGCTAAAGTCATGAGGCATAAAACCATGGACCCTGACCTATTCAGATCAAGCCTGAAGGCAGAAGGTAAGGTCACATATCTAGAAGAAGCTCCCTTCCCTGAACAAGACACTCTCCATCCAGCAGTTGCCAGTTACTGTGGGTATCATTTTAGTCAATGGTTATAACAGCCTCTCTAATTTTCTGGCCTCCTGGGTCCTGGGCACAGCCATTGGGCATTGTGCCCAAGACCCAGCAAATGCAATGACATATTCTGTTTCCTAAAACAATTGTAAGAATAAAACACAAGGCACCAAACAATAGCTCATGAGGAGATGTTTATTATCAGTTCTTGAATTACTTGCTTTGTCTATATCTGGTCAGCAGCCTAATCTGTACTCTGTGGTTGTACTGCATCATGTTTCCAATTCAACTGCAACATGTGTAGCCAACAAGGGCCCTGTTCGGTCACTGTTTTTATATCAGTGTGCTGTTGGTTTTTCCCCATACAAGGAAGTTATTGCTGGCGCTTCTTGGCCTCTCAATGATCTAACGAATAGACCACTTGAATTCAACCAATGAGGAGCGAAGAAGTAGCAGCATGCTCGCAGCCTGCTGATAAATAAACGGGGGGCGAACAGACCTAAGGTATTGATAAATTGATATAGCAGGGCAATATTTCACTGGACGCTGCTACAATGTTGGAAATAAGGCCCTTTGTTGGTCCCAGTGGCCAGTCGGGTCTAAACGGTTTTGTTCTCCATTACAAATGTATACTCCAGCACCTGAAATCTCTTAAATTTCCAGCCTGTGTGATAAAAAACTGCTTTTATTACGCCTAAAACATGCCGTTATAGCATTGAGAGAACACATTTTATCAACTGTCACATTTAGTAGGCCAAACATGTGATTTACCTGTTGAGTGTTCTAAAAGCTGGATGGTTCTCAGACAGATTTAATTATCCGGGACCAGGACCAAAATTCACAATTCCAACATTGCGCTGCTACCATGCTGCTATCATGAGTATTTCATGAGCTGATGACCCACACTTTGGGGCAGTGTTGGAGATCCAAGATAGGAGTTTGTTTACCTATATCTTGATCTACATGGAAGCCCAATTTGACATGTGATAGCAGCATGATCCCCAAATATCAGTTATCAGGTATCAGGTAACATAATGCCCAAATCTTCCAAATTTCCGGAAATGCTGAACCTTTCAACACACACCATGAATGAATGAACTCTATAGTCTATGCAGCTATGCACGCTATGCACGCCAAGATGCACGCTAACTCTATCTGTAAGAATCTTGAGCTCTACGCCAAGATACTCTACGCTGGCTCTACCGTCTACCTCTACGCCCAAGGCCGTATATCTACGCCACTCTACGCAGGGATTAGGTTGTTGTTGGAATAGGACGCGTAGAAAATACGCAGGGATTAGGGATTTTTTTCATGAAAAGCTGTTTTGCAACTAATGCGCCACAAATGAGGCACAATTTTAGAGAAGCTATTTTACGAGAATGAGATTTAATTTTGCACCTCAACTTTACAACGGGACTTAAATGGTATTATTGATAGTAAAAGAATATTAATCTTACGAAAAAATTAAATTCAACACTGGCCCAAGAAACAAGTTGCACCTTGGTTGCGCCCTTCATCACTAAAATAGAAAATGCGCGCCAAAATAGTAGACGTGAAATAGTGATTCTGTTCGTAGCACGTACAATCGAGATGAGAAGTGACGTCATCCCACCCAAAAGTGGAATTAAAGCCGCTTGTTGCCTAGCAACCTGAATATATGAGAGGAAGAAAATACCTGATTGAACACATGATGCTTGGAAATTTGTTTATAACTGGTTATTCATTAGATGGATGCAGATTACAGATACAGATTGAGATAGTTCAAGCTGGGATAGTCAACACCTTATATGTAGTATATACGGCCTTGATAATATAGGCAGATAGTAAGGCATTGATATAGCAGACGTCACACGAAGGGTTGCCATTTGACAGCGACAGGTTGCGACGCAGGACATTGCAACTTTGTGAGTAATCAAGATTGTGCCCCTTTATAGAAAATGTGTGGTTTGATAGGCAAAGGTCTTAAAAATCACCATTGCAGTGAAACTAGGTTTCCGAGAAAGTCTTGTTAGGTTGTTTTATGCGTTCTTAACAACCTAACAAGTTGTCAATCTCCTGTTGATTTGTTACAAAATGAAAACATTTTCATTTTTGATTCCAAAAATTCTTACCATCAAAACCAAATGCTTTCCGCGATAGGCCAACCAGTGACTTCTAAAATCAGGTCAAGTTCCCCAAGGTACAGGTTTAGTTTTTGGTAAAATGTAACAAAAATGGCCACTGAGCTGTGATTTTGGCATCATATTCACCTAGCTCAGCCTCAGGCACGTTAAATGGTTATATACAATTATGGTTATAACCATATGGTTATAACCATTCTACATCGTCTGGCCAATCCCGTTAGTTAACTGCAGGCCCCCCACTGACCTCAACCTTGAATGGCATTGGCTGGACATCACAGAATCTTTGTTGTCTGTGAGACCCAGAATCCGGGGCTAATGTTGGTTTTCCCGACTCGCTAGCTCAATTGGATAGTAATTGACGAAAAAGTGCTATGACCTTAGTAATGTCACAGCAATATAAATTATAAAGGTGAAGCATCAGACCTCACAAGGAGTACATGGAGTCATGATTCTTGCTTGAGATAGTTTTATCATTCCCAGCACTAAAATAACAGCTGCACTGTATTACACATATGACTTATGAGCTACAGTCTTATTTTTGTATAGCTGATTTTCTATCTATTTGAAAATATGACTGAAAATTTCAAGTTTAACCCTATTCCTGGCGGGCTCCGCCGGGACAAGAAACTGGCGGGGGGGGCCGATTCGGCCCCCCCCCTGAGATCTCGAGAACGAAGCAAGATAGCGACAAGCGGTAAACAGCATCGGATACGCACGGCCAAGATCTACAATTTTTACTAAGGTCATTTTCAGGTCAGGTCAAAGATGACGTCACAGGGGTCGAAAAAGTCAAAATGGCGGCGCTAGATATGGAGAGAGTTTTTCTCGAATAACTTTCGAATTAGTCAAGATAGGAACAAACTAAGGGCATCATCGTGATCCTCTCGTCAATCCGCATCGAATGATATATATGTTGACCTCGAAAGGTCAAGGTCAAAGGTTGACCTCAGGTCACGTGACCTCGAGGTCATCATGTATATCATTCGATGCGTCTTGACGAGCTGAACACAATGAGACCATCCACGCGTCTGTATCTTGTTCCTGTACGGAGTTATTGGCCAAAAACCTTTGGTGACCTTTGATGACGTCACATGACCTCACAACTGCCCAACAGCAAAACAGACCTCAAGGTAGTGAAGGTTGATCGTATATGAAGTCATGTATGGTATATGGGGCCATTCCGACCCGTTTTAGTGGTAAAAACAGGGAGTTGATTTTTCCCCCATTGACTTATAATGGGGAGGTCGCGAAATTGACCTGACCTTAGGTCACCGATATCAAAATTCCGAGATATACAAATTGCACATACTGGTACCCTAACTAAACCCTGAAGAGAAGAAATTGATCGGTCAAAAACTCTAGCTCTAGCGTGATTGCAAACTTTTCTGAGGTAGGGTCACCAAACCGCCTCTGGTGACCTGACCTGAGGTCAGATCAATTCAAAATTTTCAGACATGTTGCGTAGAAGCCTTTTAGGAAAAGTCAGAAAATTTGAGCTTCCTAGCTCAACGCGTTTGGGAGAAATAACCAAAAAACCTCAGGGGGGGGGGGCTCCTGAGGCCCCCCCGCCAGGAATAGGGTTAAGGTTTCATTCAGAGGTATGTTTGGACTTTGTATGGCTTTGGGTCTTGTTCTTTGGGTCATGCCATGACCCAAATGACCAATTCCCAATATCTTCTTGCATTGGTTATTGGTCTTGTGCAATTTTTTGACACCTTGTGTCATCATTCCAGTCCGTGAACGGCGCTGAGTAGCCGGTCGCCGCCTGGCGAGGGCCGTCATTCGCCGGCCGAGCCGTGAGTCCTCGATCGCCGCCGAGTCTCGGTGCCAAGATGAGCCGCCGCCGTCGCGGGGCGGTGGCGGCGCCAGCGGCAGCCGAGGAGCCCCTGACGACCGCCGCCGCTACCTGTCCCGTCTGCCTGAGCGTGCTACTCGAGCCGGTGACAATGCCGTGCCGCCACACCCTCTGCAGGCCCTGTTTCGACTCGACTGTCGAACAGTCGGCCATGTCGTGCCCCCTCTGCCGCACACGCATTTCAGTGTGGCTGCGCAGAGCGCGCCGCGCCGGCACACTGGTAGACGAGGCGCTGTGGGCCCGGCTGAAGACCACGTTTCCCGACAAGGTTCAGGCGAGACTGGAGGGACGCGAGGCAGACTTCTCCGAGGAAGGTGAGTACAAACAGAACGGTGAGCCGGCTCGCGGCATTGGCTGGTGTCAGCGGTTAACTGTTGTGCTGATTTGGCGGTAGCGTTGGCACTACTTTGGCCTCATCTGCCTTTTTCATAGAGAAGTGCATTATGCTCAACCAACCAACCATAAATGCTCATTTGGTTACTCAGACAAACCAAATATTTTTGGATATTATTATTGTCAAAGTTTTCCAGTGATCACGCCGAATGCATAAAGCATCACCTCGCATAACCGATCACGCATAAAGCATCACCTCTAAAGTGTTTTTTATTGCTGCATGTTCCTCAAAAATTGAGTTCCTTATTACGTCGGCCGATGCGTTCATTGCCCTATTTCTCGACAGTGGCGGATCTACGTTGGGGCAAAATGGGCAATTGCCCCCCCTAAACGGAAAACCTCCGGGCAAACATATCTTTTTGCCCCCCCCCCCCCTAAAAAACTACAACTTGAATACTAAAAATATGGTGTTTGAAAAGAAAATGTGAAATAAATGGAGGACTAGAAGGTTGCCATATTCGTGATATTAAGTTGTGAGCTGATAAAAAGTCCTCCGCCCCATGAATGTCAGTCCATCATCCATCAGCAGTGCTACTACTGCTACTGCTACCAAAAAAAAAAAAAATAACGCGATTTATTGAAACCTTGAACCAAGTAATCAAACCGTCAACAGCAGACCGCCAGACGCCAGTGGGGTCAGGGGTCAGGGGTCACCACACTGGTGAGCGGTTGGACAGTGGTGGGTTTGCATGGGTATATAAGAAGTGTTTGCATAATATTTTATTGCTAGATAGCATGGGTGTAGGAGCTGAAAAAAATATTGGTGGGTCTAAATATCCATTAGTACCTAGCATTTCCACTGTGGCTACATTAGTTATGTCCAGAGGCGGATACAGCCATTTCCAAAGGGGTGTCAAAAGAACGCCAGAAAGAACGGTGTACTGCGTGCCTTTGAGAACAAGTGCGAGATAGGTTTCTGAGAGGAATAACGTAAAGAAGATAACCAATCGCGGCTTTTTCATGAGCCATACCGTTATCTAACGGGGACAGACACAGAAAGGCTCAGTCAGAGCTTTTGGTTTGCGAGGTGTTGGAGAAGCTCAGTATGTTGTGGGAACTTAACGCTGTTCAGTGTGATTCCGTTGGCTGTTGCGCTGTGGTCCTATCCTATGTAGTCTGTAGAAGCATCGTTTATCTCCTCTCGAAAGTAACACTTATTGTATAATTTTGCTAGCTCGCGAAGTTTAGTCCCAAAGTTAAGGAATGTTCATTGTAATTGCATCAATAAATACAGGACCGAAAACAAATGCGCTGTTCTTCGTCTATTTCTTGTTGGGATTCTTAATCGACTGATCTCATTTTCTATTACCGGAAACAACTGTTAATACGTTTAACTACGTGGCAACCCTGACTGCGTAGTGCGTATAGTATCGCAGGTACGCTGATGTGGCCTTTGGTCGTGGGCATTTACACATGAACCTGCTGCTGCGACCCTTATCGGTCTCCGGATACAGAAGCCCTTGAGAACCGGCGCGGGCGGACCTTTCGGACGAGGTCTTGCCGAGGTGATGCGGGAGGTAGAGGACGGACCTTCCATAGCGCCGGTGAGCTAAGCGTATCTGGTGTGCCAACAGATATGATGATGCATAGTGCAGTATCAAGACACGTTTGGTGATTTATCCTGCTATGATAAATAGATAGCGACATGCGATCAAGACCAGTGTCCAAGACGCTATCGATAAATGGGAGAACATTGGGAACGGAAGCAAGATTTACAAATCGGTGAACTTCTACGAAACTCGACTACGACCACGATCCATGAAGTCATGCACTCATCAGCTTTTCTTTTGTCAAGTTTTCATTTCTTAGGGCCCCGGTGATATCCTCATACTTATCCTTCTTGCCA